CCCGACCTAGGCTACCCCCCCCTAGCCCTCACCCACAGGCACCCCCCCCAAGCCCCCCACCCCTCGGCTTCCCCTAGGGCCCCCCACCTAGGCTACCCCCCCCTAGCCCTGCCCTAGGCTACCCCACCCCCCCCCCCCACCCACAGGCTACCCCCCCCTAGGCCCCCCCACCCTAGGCTACCCCCCCCTAGCCCCCCGCGCCCCGCCCTGTAGCCCCCCCAGGTCTGACCTACCCCTAGGCTACCCCCGCCTAGGGACCCTACCCCTAGCCTCCCCCCTCCTAGGCTACCCCCGCCTAGGCCTAGGCTGACCCGCCTCTGCCTAGGCTACCCCCCCCCCCCCACCCCCACTCCTCTCCTTCCCTCCAGTTCCCTACTCACGCGCTGGCAAATTCTTTGTTCACACAACCCACACAGCAACATAAATTGTTTGTAGGTTGAGCGCAAGCCCTCAGCCTCTTGTAGCGCAGCCAAATGCCGCCAAAGTTCACCTGTGCCAGCTCACATCAAGAAGTTTCACTGCTGCAGTGCTTCGACTTTGATGACCTTCCATCAAGGTCTACATCGTGTGTGCTATACAGGAGCATGACTGTTTTGCATGTTGACGACAATGTTGGCCTTAATACGCTTTAAAAGGCTTTTCGCTTTGTTAGTTCAAGCTTGAACTGCTCCCACATCATATATTGTTGGCTCTAACACTCCTTGCAACCCACAGGAGCCAACGCCCGACCCTTGCATTTGCTGACTCCCCAATCGTGTTGGTCAACAAGCCAGAGAAGATCTTCAAGGTGCTGGGGTTCGTAGACACCCTCACTGTCGTCACCATTGTTGATGGCAAGTCTGACAAGTTTGCAGACCAGCTGCCTGCAATCAAGAAGAACTTCAAAAGCGCACAGAACATCCGAACGTATATAGGTGCTGCCACAGGGAGTAAGCTTTTTGCCCTGGTGCTGGAGGGCTACGCTTCGAAGGGACCTTGGGCCTACGAGTGCTTCTGCGCGTCCCCTCGTTTCCGTACAGGGTTTGGAAAGGGCCTTGTCAAGCACATCCCTCCACAGCCGATCAATGCGGTCAGCGTCAACAAGTTCTTTAATCCTATTGCGGCTGTGCGCAGAACAGATCAGCGGCTGCAGCAACATGACCAATGTGTGACACCCGCTGAACCAGGCGCTGACTCTGTGTTTTGGTTTCGGACAACTTGTGTTTCGCATGATTGAGTGCCCGCGTGACCCGCAAGGTGATTCCACTGATCACACGTCTCAACCTGGAGACACGCATGGTGCGGCTGTGGAGGACAAACATGTGCAGGACTCTACCAACCTGTTGCTACCAAACACGCAAGGCACACCTGGAACCGGCTCGCCGCTTGTCAGCATCATGCTGGCAAGCTAGTTTCGAAGTTTCCAGTTGCTGACAAGTGATCCCTAACCATAGCCGCAGTTGGCCGTGTTTCCGCTACTTGTTATCCAACCCATGTCAATTGCCACTGGCTTCGTTTCGCTCAGGAACGAGATGCCATCGCCAGAACAACAGCTTCAGCTTCTTCATTGTGATCCTGACGGTCACTCCCACCCGAACAAAGACAATCGCACCCATGGAGCACACGGTGATGATACGCATGCTAATGACCAGGCTTCTGCTGCTCCTGATCCGCCCGAGTCCCAGCCTGCCAACGTGGTGTTGTCGTCGCCTGAGACTTCTCCGCCTGAGTGCCACTTAGCAGATGCCAGCACTCTACACCAGCCAGATCCTGTCTGTTCTGACCAACAGCAATGCCACGTCACCGCCGACTCAGATGCAGCCAAAACGTTTGATTACTTGAACAGTTGCCTGGCAGCATCTTCGTGAAATTTGCAAGCTTGCCCTTTCTCATTCACAGTCTTCGTGTGATGCGGTTTCATGCAAACAGCCAACTTAAACGGACTTACCACCTTGCCCTCATCCGTCAGCAGTTCAACCGCGTTTGGTACGTTTTCAATATCAGGGTTCCAGGACCCAAGGGTTGCTTTGTAGATTTGTGGGACTTACACTTCTTTAGACTGGCATCTCAGGATGGCCAGACCGATTCATCAATACCTACGCCAACCTTGATGAGAAGTATCACGACACGTCCATGGACGCATGCGATATGGCCATTGACATCAGCTCTGGTAGCAATTCTTCACGATCGCTTCAGAAGCTATGCGACAAAATGTCGATAGCTTCGTACTCAACAGCCTTCAGCGGCATTGACAGCCCAGGTACGGCTTTTGCTCAGCTCCGCGCCGCAGCAAGCGCCGTCGCATCGTCCAGCCTCAGAGCGCCAGACCATTTGCACGCCTGCGCGCCTTGTCTACCTGTGTGTTGACACACTAGTTGAAACTCTCACAGTTAAGCAGTCACTCGGTCGTTTGTTGTAAGCCCACGTGCTATTTCAGGGCCCCAGGGATTTATAGACTCCGGTGTCTGTTTGTTTTAGTAAACCAACAAACTTCGTGCAAACGCGCTGCTACATGACACAACCTAACGCACTTTTATGATCTCATTTCTCCCTCCAATTCTTTTTAACAACTCTAACAACTACTCGCGAACCTTCTACTGATTTTACTGTTGCTTTGACTGTCAGGAGTGGAACACTAGCTCTCGCAACGAATGTCTCACGCATCCCCATCGACCCTTGTGCATGTTCAATGACATCGGTCAGTTCCTGCAGACGTCGTTGCAGCCGATGCTGGCTGACTTGACGAATGGTGACAAGCTGGACACTCACCTAAAGCCTCTCATTCTGTCAGGGAAAGCTATCAGGGCATCGTCTTACTGCGTCGTGCACCAAAAGCAATGCCGGATTGACAACCAGGTCGCTATGATGCACATAGCTGGCACTCCTTGTACGGCCCATAGCGCTATGGGGCTGAGAGACCAGGAGAAAGCCTTGGCCTTTGCGCACTTCTTGTGCTGGTGCGGACAGAGACGGCTCACTCAAGAGCCGATAGTTGTCCAGGAGTGTGTGGACACGTTCCCACGCAGCGTCTTCCACGAGCTGCTTGACATGTATGACTGGTGCTTCGATGTGCTATCGCCGGTTCAGTACGCGTGGCCAGTAACAAGGACACGGCAGTGGGCAGTGCCGCTTGGTGCGGCACAGTCACTTTCCTTTATACTTCATCTCAGTTGCCAAATTGTGAGTGGGACGCCGCCTCTCTGAGCAACTCAGGGGTCGCCACAAGGCGAAGACACTTGGTTTCAGATCGTTGCTCCACAACTTCGCGCCCATGTTCTACGAGTCCTGTGTCGCTGACTGGAGCATATTCTTTTGGGAGTCGGGGACCTAGCTAACTGGTTGAAGCCAAATTTCTGTGGGGGTGGGGTGGGTGCGTGGCGACATGTTTGCTCCTCCTTCGTGCGCGTGCTGTGTGTTTGTGTGTGTGTTCTGAGTGCCGATCGTCCGACAAATTGTTCAATGCGCTGTGCCATCCAGGTCTGATGCAACAGAGCTACAAGCTGAGCTGGACTGGGCATCCAAGCGCCCCGAATCGCGCTGGTCTCGGGAGCACGCTGATGATCGAGCTGTCGTTGACTATCACAGCGCTGACGGCGCAACTGTCTGGGAAGCATGCCTCACAGAGTGCGAACATCGGTTCTATCAGTCCTACCTTCTGAACTTCCCTGACAGCGTCTATTCGCTGAACCAGGACCCAGCCATCAAGCCCATGTACGCGCATGGAAAGGCGTGTTGGCAAACGTGACCCACACTCTTAAACAGTTGCCGGTTCTATTGTCGGGCAGTGTGATCTGACTAAAGTGCTTCAACCGTCAACAAACCTGACCTCCGTGTGTGTGTGTGTGTGTGCGTGTGTGTGTGTGTTGTGTGTGTGTGCGTGTGTGCGTGTGCGTGCGTGCGTGCGTGTGTGTGGGTGTGGGTGTGGTTGTGGGTGTGTGCGTGCGTGCGTGCGTGCGTGTGTGTGTGTGTGTGGGTGCGTGCGTGCGTGCGTGCGTGCGTGCGTCCGTGCGTGTGTGTGTGTGGGTGTTTGTGTGTGTGTGTGTGTGTGCGTGCGTGCGTGCGTGCGTGGGTGTGTGTGTGTGTGTATTTGTTTGTCGGCCTTGCCCTGCGCGAGGTCCTCATGACGCTGATCGCCTCTGTCAACTTGTTGATGAGTTCCCGCCACCGTCGGTGGATGACCATGAAGGAGACGTTGACGGTTCAAGGCTTTCCCATGACAGATCAGCACACACACAGACAGGCGTGCAGCTCTTTTGCTTTGCGGGCTCAGCAAGCCTTGCGCCGCATCCCGACTCAGAGTGGCTACCATGGTCCATCCAGAAGATCCGGCTGCAAGCAGGCTGGCAACAGCATGCACGTCACCATCTCTGGCATGGTGCTGTTGTTTGCCATCACACAAGTCCAATTCGATAGTGGCATGATGCGTCTGCAACTGCTCGCGCGGTCTTCAAGACATGTGATGGAATGTCTCGCGGCCAGCCCGCGTCAATCGCGCAAGCGCAACATATCGCAGGCCATCCTCCGCCCCGACGATTCAGACGAATCGCCGCTCAAGAAGCGGGCGTGATTGCTCGCCACCTGTCTCATGAGCCGATTGCGTTGCTGAAACCAGAGTGCTGCCCTCCCCCCGCAACAACTAACAGTTTTAATAGCGACTACCTCAATTTGGAACCAAGTAACTTTGGTGTGTGTTTGCGGACTTGTTGAGTTTTAAACGGCAAGCTGCGCGTGTGTGATGAAGATAGTGACTCCTTGGCGCACTTTCACCAGATTGGCTTGACGTTGGCAACACATGTTGACAGAATTGAGCGCACGTTAGTTAGACATTAGCCATTTTGGTTCTTGCTGTGGGTTTTCGGCGGTTTTCGGTTTTGATCGTCACCATGACCGCTTCGGAGAAGTGGGATGTTGTGAGAGCAGACAAGCGCACCTGGAGCGTGGACGTCTCAGTCAATGACATCTTCCCGGACCTGAACGGGAGGGTGCTGTTGGATGCCATTTGGGAGGTGTATGGAGTTGGCATGGGCGAGCGCAAGACCATCCAATTCTTCCAAGACTCCAACGTCCCTGATCAGTCGCTGCCCTTTGCCAGTCGAGTTCGCAATCTGGCACGCCACTCCGTCTTCAACCCCCGTCAGCAGGAAGGCGTGAAGGCAGCCTATGTGAAGTCCTGCAAGGCGCGGGGCATTTGCGAAAGCGTTCGCGGAGAAGCATGGGCGACGCAGCCCACTGCTAACGACGATGGCCGGATGGGCCCATACTTGCTCATCAGCAGCGCCTCATTGGTGGAGGCGTTCTACACAGCGCTGAACGAGGAGCCCGGCAACCCGAATCTCATTGCCACGCTCCGGCATGGCATACAGGTACGCATTCTGAGCTCCAGAACGCCGCCGGGAATCTGCAAGTACTTGACAAAGCTGCATAACCGATTCCACGGAGGAGCATCAACCAATTTTCTGGAGCTGATCGGCTTCATTCCTGACGCGGCCCGGTATGAAGAGTCACTTAAGCGCCTGTCGCTCAATCTTTGTTGGGGTTGAAAAGGCAGCGAAGCTTGCTGCTGGCTGTTTACTTGTTTACTGCTTCTTCACTGTTTCTACGAGAAGGGCACGTGTCGCCCTTATGTCCTCCAAGGTCGAGAACGCCTTGAACATTTGGAAGCAAGCCAACGGCATCACCTGGCAGACCAGAGACTACGAGTCCAAATGCGTCTTGGATTTGCGTAGCAGCGAAATGTGAGAAACGCCATAGACGTCACAGATGTCTTGGCTTCGTCCGACCCTTCTGAGGTTCTCAGTTCGTGAAGAGCCACCAGGATTTCGGCGAAACTTTCCCGGAATGGAAGCTGTACGAGTCCGCGCGGGCTTGCCAGCATCTCATGTCAAAGCGTCCTGGCTTCCTGGACACGCTGACCTCGGACATGGCAGAGTTTGCGGACTTCACACATGCGCGGTTGAGTAACTCGGTGGTGCTGCAGTGCCTGCAGACGGTGTTCACCTCCATCGTGTCAACCATCTACGACGGCATGAGCAGCGAGGACATGGACCTGCTCCTGTTGGAATGCTGCAAGCTGTGCGTGCATCGGCAGCCATTAGTTTCCAACATAGCTTCCAGTTGCGCACTTGCATTTTTTGCAAATGACTCCCACCTCTTTTGGAAAAAACAACGATTTTGTGTTCAGTGTTCTATCGCTTTTCTGTCCGGTCGACTTGCCTGCCAGGTGCCACACCTGGCCTCTCCTGACAACTCCACATGGGTATTCGATTCACTTAGCAAGCGGACGCTTGTTCAGCGCTTGTTTACAGTCATGTCTGGGAGCGTGGTGTCAAGCGAGCCCACTTCGTGCATGCCAGCCAAGCGCCGCAAGGGTGCCAACCAGGCGGGCGCCAAGAAGAAGCCGAAGGCCAAGGCGGCGGCGTCCAACGGAGCTGCTGAGCCAGTCCTGCCTGCTGAGTCAGACGTGACATCCACAACTGTGGCATGCACGCTTGGGGTTCGCAACAAGCTATTTGTCGATGATTTGATGAAGTGCGTCAACCATTGCATTGACCACATGCAAGCAGAACTCACAGCCATCCAGGCGGAGGACTTTGTGATGGTGAAGAGGCAACTCATCCGAATGGGCTTGCTTTTTGCGTTCAGCGGCCAGGTCATGGTTGAGACCTCTCGCGGCAGCAAGGTCCACAAGAAGTGGAGCTCACTGCGGCCGGCCTTGAAAGCGCACGGTGTCTTCCTACTCAGCAAGGCAAATGCTTAACGTTCAGTCGGTTGTCGGTCGTTCAATGGGGTTGCGCTTTTTGCATATGTTTCAATCAGTTGTACTCGGTTAGACCTCTTGCTTCTGATTCACGCAGCAGGCAACTGCAAGACGCGAGAGTCACATAGTCACAACAAGACAGCGCACACACAAACAGAGACGGGACAAAGACGTGCAGACACAGACACTGGCACACACAGATAAAAAATATATATATATTTATTTATTTATATCTATATGTGTGTCGTGTGTGTTTAAATTTACAAAAACCAACACACACCACCTACAGGCGCGCAATCAAACACGAACGAACGGACGGACGGACAAACAGGCAGGCAGGCAGGCAGGCAGAGACAGACAGAGACAGACAGCAGACAGAGACAGACAGAGAGAGACAGAGAGAGAGAGACAGAGACAGACAGAGACAGACAGAGACAGACAGACAGACACACAGGCGTGAACACGCGTGCGCCACAGTGTCAAACACGTAAACATAGACTCGACGACACAGATTCCCACTTCAAAGTTGCCAAAGCATCGGCGTTCATCCGCCAGGTTATGAAGGACAAGCTTGGCGTGGGGCTGGTGTTGGGCGGCGGCAGCAGCTCCGACTCAACGTTGGACCCGTCAATGTCAGCCCAATGGCAGGCGATGTCTACACCGACCGAAGCTGCCTTCTCTGACGCTTCCACCAGCCTGGGCGAGAAACTGGCCTTGTTCTCCACGCCTGTGAAGGAGTGGATGGCCAAGGAACCTACCAAGGTGTTGACCAAGGTGCTGGATGTGTCAGAGCACGCCACATTTGGCCATTTGCGTGCGATGATTTTGACATCGTGCACATGTGCAGCGGCGAAGCGTGCTGATGGAAGCACTATCAACTTCAACACCAATGAGGGCTGCACGCTTCATGCGAGCCATCCTCACTTGGCCGACGTGGTGTACGAGATTACGCGTGTCACGCACAATTCCTTTGGGGATCATTTCCTTTGCTTCGCAAACCTTCTGGTGGATGCATGCTCCAAAGGACGTTCGACTTAAAGGGGAGTTGTAGATTCTAATGATGAAGCGGTTGCCCAAAGATTGATGTTGTCTCCCTTTCTGCCGGTCATCCAAAACTGTCCACCAGGATGGACTAGCCCCAGCATCGTGAGCGCAATGTCCATCGATGCGTCCAACGCGGAGATGCTCTTGCGAGTGCGGTCTGTGTACGTGGTCCAGTTGCTAGTGTCCCTCACCTCCACTTCAGCGACATCCTGGGGTAGTTTGTTCGACCGCCTGAAGGACCAGCAGCTCCTCAAAAATCTCTGCACCATGGATGGATGCTGCGTGAATGGGCACGAGGAGCACTGTGCGGTGTGGACTGCAGCGCTGGAAACCATCCTGAAGCAGAACAGTGTTGATGTCAAAACTATCCTGCTACAGCAGCAAGTGAAGCCCATCACGAACTGGGCAAAGCAAGCCATTGGCCAAGCGACCGCAGCAGACTCGCAGGTTCTCGATGATGGTGACGACGCCGACGGGGGCGCCAACGCCACCAATGTCTTTTCAGTGCAGGAGCTTCTCAACTTCGGCGCTGACGAGCTCACTCCCGCTGCAGACATGATGGTTGCGTGGCAGTGTGAGCTCTCGTTGCGCCTGTTGACGCAAGCAAGGCCGGGGATTTGCGTACTAGTCTCACACACACACACAGAGTCACACACACACGGCTTTACGCACGCGCGCCAGTGTCAAATTCCAGCATCATGTGGCAGGCTGGTGGAGATGCCCCACCGCGATCGCACAACTGTTGTTGTCAACGCTACCAACGACAATAAGGGCAAGTCCAAGATCGAGGTGGACCTACTGTTTGCGATCAATGACCAATTCGATCTACTCACATCGCCTGTGGACCCCAGGGTGCAGCTCTACAAGCTTCCTCCAGATTTCCGGTTGGTCTTCACCGGGAACGTGTGCGCCCCGTCTGATAAAGACTTGGGCCGGACAAGTGAGAAGTCAAGGGTTACTGTTTGGCGTACACTGAATTAAACGTTAAACTTGCCACATGGTCAATGGTTTGCCAGTTGTTGAAACATGGCTGATTTGTTTGTAATTTGTGTAGGGTCCTGAGTGTGTGTGTGTGTGTGTGTGTGTGTGTGTCGGTTTTTACTTTTGAATCTTTCAGAGTGTTGTGTTTCCGTGATAACAAATGTGACAAGTGTGTGCGTGCTGAATGACCGATCAGCGCCCAACGCAAGGCGAACACATCCCCAATGACCGAGCGCTGGGCAAGCGTGGGTCTGCCGCATCACGTGCACCGCCTTCCGCATCCAAGCCTACCACGCAATTGCCGCTGCGAATCACTACGCCAACAGGCGAACCGTTTGGCCAACAGCTCAGTTAAGTGGAGCGGGAGTAGCCAAATGAGTGTTGTTGTTTGTAGCCCATCTGGGCCCATCTGCGACATGCCTGTCATGTTTGTTGCTGTGACTGGATAAAGCCGGCTCACGTACCAGAAAAGAAAGACCGGAGCCCTTGTCCTGTTTGGGCAGTTAGCCAGTTGTAAGGGGAACACTATCATATTCACATGTGTGGTGCCAAGGTGGGATGAACCTCGGAGTGGACGGTTCCGCGTATCAGCAAGTGGACTCGGCAATTTTCTCCGCTGCTTGGATGGTGCCATGTGTGCCCGATGAGGCAACGACCCCATGCTTGGAGTATGATGAACTTGTGCTCGAAACTCCTATGGAGTGCGACACATGCGCGGCCAGAACAAGTGCTACCCCAAACAGCCGGATGTTTAAGGTGGTTTGCCCCACCCTCGTCCCCAACAAGGCGAACAACGGCATGTGCTGCGTCAAGCAGGTGAACGGTAAGCCGTTTGCCGTGCTGACGCGCGGTCTGCTGCGCCTCAACTTGCACGGGCTCACTTAGGAAACGCAGAAGCAAGTCTACGCTTGGTTTTGGAAAAGTGGTTTTACATGCGCTGTGCAAAACAAGGGGAACGCGCTGAGGAGCTTCTGGTAGGGTAATTTTGACTAGATTGCGGCTTCATTTTCACCCTTGACCAACGACACCAACATTCACGTGACGTTTCATGTTTGGCGCAGCCAACATAATCTTCAACCACACGCTTCTAAGCCAAGGGTCGGGCGGGTGTCACTGCCTGAGTTTCTTCTCAATGTTTGCCCAGGCCGGGCGAGAAGTTCAAGGCGAAGAAAGCGGCGCGAGGGAAGGATGCAGCCACTGACCCCTTTGGCCTCGATGCTGATGTCCCTGGCCCTCCGTCATCGCCACGGATGGGGCCTCACGCCTGCGTGAAACGCAAGATGGTGCAGGCTTCGCAGCATGATACCGTTTCCCCATTGGTTTTGAAGACCCCCAAAGATTGTCGCCACCTTGTCAAATAGGGGCGAAAAAGCTGAAGTGTCCCCCCATTTTAAGCGCGTTTTTTAGAAGCTTTGGATACTTGGTTCCAGGCCCATTGTTGTGAGTGTCATCTGTGCTCAGTAATTCTTGGGTGGGGTTTGGGTGTTGAGTGTTGAGTACCAAGTAAACGGTTTACACCCCCCGTGCTCCGTCACGCCACTTGCTTTTGAACCAAGTTGAACACGGTTTTTCAGTTTTTCAGCCGTGCTGTTTACTGGAACCCATGTTTCTTCCGGACCACTGCAACAAACAACCTAGAACACCTACCGTTTTCAACGTTTTCAGATTGTCAATGGCAAAGAAGGTGACGGTAAGACAAGGTGACTGTAAGACAATGGGGTACAAAAAGAATTGAATAGTCTGGCTGCAAGCAATTGGCAGCCAGCAATTCGCTTTGCACGCTGGCCACATTGAGTGACTGACCGCTTTGCAGCGCTTTGCACTGTCTTGCCAGCCGTGATTTTACAAGATCTTAGACTCAAAGAAGACAAAGCACATGCGCTGTGTGCCTGCCTGCGGTGATGCGGCACACAATGGCGCACGGTGTGATATGCCAAGAAATAGCCATGCTGCGTATGCTGGGTGTTGATGCTGACTGCTTGAATGCTCATTGGGCACATGCTTCTTGATTTGCAACTTGCTGAGAGCAAATCAGCTTCCAAGGTCGCTGGCGGCTCCACACGGAGCGGGCAATGATCCATCGAAGTCGGAGATGTCTCAGCACACATCTGACCAGTTTCACCGAGTCGCTGCAAAACATGTTTGATCACCCTGCGTTTTTGCGTTGCTGCCTCAGCTTGGTGTGGAGGGGGTGTGTTTGTCGGTTGCGCTTCAGGCCCAGACCTTCAAATTAGGGCGCTCCAGGCACCCCGGGCAACCCCCTCAAGACGACCCCCAGGCCACAATCCAAGACCACTTCTTGGGCATCACCCCCTAGAGACATCAGCACTTGTCTATCTATTGGGTATGATCTGCGGCGGCGGCTGCGGCTGCGGCCCTGGGCGGGGCAATACGTTCATGCGGACGTACTCGGCTGCGTCCTGGGGGAGCTGGGAGCGGAAGGCCTGCACCGCCGCGAGCCCTGCTGCTCCTGCGCCCACAAGGTCCGCTGCTGCCTGCGCTCCGTCGGCCGCGCTGCGCAAACGGCCCGTGATGGAGGGCGGCCCCTGACCGTTGTTCGTCAGCGCGTCGGCCTCTGGGTCTCCAGCCAGGTCGTCCTCGCCGAAGCGGTTTCCTCCACCTTGGCGCATCCGGGCCAAGTCCTCGTCCGTGGCCTCTGCTGGAGTGCGGAAGCCTTCCTCTGCCCTCAGGGGCGTGTGCTGCAGAGGCTGCGGGTTGGGGTCCTCGCTGGACGGCACGAAGTCGTCCAAGTAGAAGTGGCTCGTGATGAACGTGGTGGCCTTGCGGTCCGGCTGGTCCAGGGGCAGCGGCTCATTCCGCTCCTGCTCGAAGCGCGGGCGCTGGCTGAAGCCGTGGGCCCGAAGCGTCTTCATCTCTTTAAGGGTTACTGCGCGGCAACTTCGCCCGCTGCGCGTTCGACGCCCCTGCGCTCGGCGCGCGCGTAGCGCAGCTGGGGTACCTGGCGGTGCACTGCC